GTCGCCGGGCCTTCTCCTGTGCAACGGCATGAGGTACACCACTGCTGCAGGAGGGCGACATCCAGGTCTGTGTCATCCGGCACCCGCGGACCTTTCTCAGCAAGATCCTCACCTCGAAATTCCTGAGGCGCTGGGAGCCGCACCACCTAACGCTGGCCGACAACAGCCTGGCGTCCGCCACGGTGAGTCGCTCCGCTCCGCGTGGCCGCGCGCCGGCTCCCCCGCGCCTCCCCTGGGGACCGCAGGGCGCCCCCTCCCACGGCTGCACCTGGAGCCCGGGGCCCGCCGCGCACCGGGGGGCGCCCTGCTCCCGGCCTGGGCTCGGCGCCGGGTGGTGGACTCCGCGGAGCTCTGCCCGGCCGGCGGTTCGGGGGGACCCCGAGGGATCCTGGACAGGATCTGGCCCCAGCCCCGGCTGAGCCTGGGGGGACCTCGGGCCCAGCGCTCGGGTTTCTTACGGGTGGGACCGTGGGCTGGACCGGCTGGGCCCTGGTGGTGGTGAGGGTTCCCTTTCTGAAAGCCTGCGGGGGACGGGAAAACAAAACAACCAAAAAAATAAAACACCTCCCCCCCCTCCCCCAAGCCCCAAACCCCCAACAACCTCAAAACCCCCAAACCCAAAGAATTTCCAGAAACCAGTTCCTTTCTTTGAACTGTACCCATCTTTTATTCTCTTTCCTGCCCGAGCTGGCAGGCAAAACTGGGTGCTTCCCTTTCTGAAAAAATCTCTTTGGCACATTGGGGGGCTGGAGGGGGAGGGGCAGGGGCAGGGGTCCGGGGTCCGGGGCTGTCTCCTCCCGACCCAGGGCTGAGGGTCAGGTTCTAGTGTGGAAGCTGGCTCGCGGGGCTCCGGTCTGGCATTGTCTGTGAAGTGTGTGTAGACGTGTGTTTCCATGCTGGGTTTTTTTTTTATTATTTTGTTACTGTTATTGTTTTTAAATATGTGGTTGGGACTGGGTCAGCTGGGTGAGGGGGAGAAGAGCAGTCATTGATCTGCTTCTGAAATCAAACCTGCAAGGTGGAGAAAGAGCTGTGGTGGGGTCGCAGGGCGGGGGTGGCGGGCAGGAGCCTGAACAGGATGCTTTGTGTTTTGAAACAAGGACAGTTTAAAGCACCAGATCTGCTTGGGCCTGAGCCTTGCTGAGAGGGTTCCTTCCTCTACGGAGAGGTGACAGGTCTTCCCCAGAATGCACACTCCCCCCTGGGGCCACCGTGAGCCTGTTTACTAAGCACAGTGGGGGGCGGGGTGGGGGGGCCAGAATCCACCGCCTGCCCACACCTGTGCCAAGAAAACCCAGCCAGGAAATAGGGTGTCGCTTACATGGCATGTCACAAACGTGTAGCGTGTGTAGACATTTCCCCGGCATCCATGTTCCCTTGGCAGTGTGTCACAGGCCGTGACACATGCTCCAAGGAATGGGGAGGGGGAAAAGTTAGCAGGAGAAACCTTACTCCTGGAAACAACTTCCCCCCCTCCTGAGAGCGTTGAAGCACACGAGGACTTTTATTCTGAATTTTGGGTCCGACGTGCTGAGAACACCTATTTTTTCTTTCCTGTGGGCACGTTGGTGCAATGTCTGCAAAGGCTGCTTCCTCAGGGTGGATCGCTGGCTGTCGAGAAGCGGCCCAGGCCCAATTTCAGGCTCATGCATGTTTAAGAACCACAGGGCTGAGCGTTTGGCTTTTCCTTTGATGGAGGGAGAGCCTCGGAAAATGTGCCCTCACACACCATTTCAGATTGGGGAGGAACCAGTGTCCTCAGTAGTTCCTTGCCTGGGACCTACCCGGAGTGCCCAAATCTGGCTTCAGAATTGTCCCCTGGCTCATGGGGGGCTTTATTTTTTTCTGCCACCCCTCAAAGTGAAGGGGAGTGTGTGTGTGTGTGTGTGTGTGTGTGTGTATAGAAATGGTTGAGAGGCACAGTGACCCTCTGTGGGAAGGACAGGCTGAGCCAGGAGTGTGTCCTCTGCTGCTGCTGGCCATAGTCTGGGGGAAGCCAGCTTTGGAGGCTCAAGGCCCCAGACTTACCTCTGATTGCTCAAGATGTATACGTGAGAGAGAGGGGGAAGGAGGAAAGGCTGAAGCGGGGCGCTGGTTTCTTAAGCAGCCAGAGGGAGGCCCTGGCCCCACCTTCACCAGCAAGGTGGGTGGCACTTTTGTAGCTTGGGCCTTTCTGGAGAGGAGCTGTGGTTTTCAGGACTGGGGACCGAGCGCTCTCCATGGAACGAGATTTGTCTCAGCAGAGCCTTGCTCTGGCGTTGGGAAATGTGGATGGAGGAACTCTGAGCAAGTGTCCCATGAGCTGGCATAATTCCCCTTCCTCTGCCTGTCATCACCAAGCCCCTCGGGTAGGGCAGGGGTGTCCTTAAATCTCCCCATGGGGGGCTCCAGGGGAGGACGTGGCTCTCTGTGCCAGGGCCTGTGAGCATGGCGGGGGGCTGCTGAGGCAGGCCTGGTCGAGCGGCTGCCTCCAGGGCAGAGGTGGGGTTGGCACTGCTACTGGGGACCTTGCCTCATCCTGAGACACCTGGTTGGTGTCCAGGCCCTAGGAAACAAAGCAGCCCCGAGGGGTTTTTCTGAGGCCTGGGCGTTATGTAATCTGTCTGCATTTTATAGTGCGGCCCAAGCACTCTATTGAGAAATATTAGCCCAAATGAAACAAAGGTGAATTTGAGTGCAGTTCACTACAACAAGCCCTGTGTAGCCCTGTGGCTTTGTGTAGAGTCCCTGGCCCAGTCTCACGCTGCCGATATATCAAGTATGTTTCCTATCCTTTCTTGAAACGTATATCATCTGTCTATACAGCTCAACTCAGAACCGTTTGGTAATTATATGGTTAATTGTGTGGGCTTCAGGAACAAGAGCCAGAGTGATTGATCTGGATCCGAGTGAATAAACAAACTAAATACACTCTTTTGCCCAAATTGTCTTTGGAGTCTGTCTACACTGATCCAATAAATTGGATTGTTGTCAGAGATAAAGACCAGGACCACAGCTGTCTCGAGGAGGGTGGAAGCATATGGGGCGCCCAGGCCCACCCGGGCGGCAGTGCCTGCTGGCTTCGCCCCTCAGGTGGACCTCTCTTGAGTCCTTGCTGGGGAGATGGGCTCAGACTGGGGCCCCAGGGACTGGCAGCCTCACTCCCGGGCCTGGCTATAAACTTTACCTTATGTGGGGTCAGGTTGGAGCTTGCCCTGTGCCTGTCTCCTGGGCCAGTTACTGATTAAATCCTCGCAGAGCCAACAGTGTGCCTGACGTGGCCTGTGACAGTGCCGGGCCTGATGCACTTTGTGCTTGAGACTTTGGATCCAGAAAGCTCATAAACAAAGAAGGAAACACAAAGGCGACAGCGACCTGGCTGACGTGTGAGGGGTGATTGGGAGGCATCCACCCCTTCCCTGGGGTACACATGACCACACCTTGTGGGGGAAGGGCCCGCTTGCCCAGGCTGTGGCCCGGCCCTGGCGCCTCCTTCCTCTTTTGCATCCAGACTTCCCAGTCCCTGGGCTTCCCTGGGGCTTCGTGGTGGCGGTCCGTCGTAGCCGACGGCCAGGCATTCTGCATAAGCAGCCAGGTCCTGTGAGACCAGAATCCATTTTGCTATTCTGTGTCTAGGTTGAATTTGATCACCTGCTAGACATGTTTGTCCACTGGAAGAGGGCTTTGTCTGTGTGCTTTGTTTCCTCTGCACCGAAGAAGTACAAACACGCTGCTGACATTCTATTTCACCTAATTTTGTGCACCCATCACATGGCATCTCGTGGTGGATCCGGTCCGAAAAGTCTTTTATTCATTGACCCAACAGGGATGGGGCGCAGGTGACAGCAGTGTTCTTTATTCTCAGGCCTTAATTCATCA